GCCTTGTGGGGACTAGAACAAACAAAGCTGCTAATTAACGCCCATTAACCCCTCCCATCCCTTTCTCTCTCTGTTAATTAAGCTAACAGATTCCAGAAGCTGCGGCAGAGGGAGGGAGTCCAGGGGCGCGTGGGCCGTGGCGCCTGCCCAGCCCGGGAGAGACCCAGGCCTCCAGGGGGAGATGCCAGCGAGCAAGGGACACGGCGGGGAGGGAGGCGGGGAGCCCGCTCCAGGGCTCTGCAACCCTGTCACTCACCGAACTGGAAATTGTAGTGGGCGACCTGGGCCCGGCGGACCCTGCGGCCGAGGGTGAGTCCACAGTCGGCGTCCAGGTCGCCGGCCAGTCCCGCGGCCTTCAGGCTCTGTTGTACCTGGGCCAGAGGTCGCGACAGGAGCTTCACCACACCCACTGCCCCCCGCCTCCAGGCCCTCCGGACAGCCCCCTCAGCCCCCTCCCCACGGCCGCCTGCCTCCGGCCCTGCTCTGGCCACCAGCGGCTCCCGCGTCTCCGCTGTCCAGAGGGGAAGACCCGCCCTGTCCAGTCCTCCCCTGTGCCCGGCGCCGCGGCCAGCACCCGGCATCTGCACACTTGTTCGTCTCCACGCCGCAGCGCTGTCTCACCTCCCAGTGGGGGCACCCAGCGGCCAGGCTGGTGGCCACTGTGCCCAGAGCGGCTCCAGCGCTCTGAGGCCTTGCGCGGCCGCTTCCTACCAGGCCCCAGCCCCAGCCCCCCACCTGGCCTGCTTTGGGCCTCGCTTTCCCCCCTGCGCCTCACCTCCCTGGCATATGCCTCCTGCTCGGTGCCCACTGGGATGACGGCCACCTGGAAGGGGGACAGCCACAGGGGCCTGGGGGAGAAAACAGGCAGGACAATGGCGTCCAGCTGATGGCGCAGCGGCCATGCCCCCGGCCCAGGGCGGCGCGGAACCCGAGCCAGCGGCCTCACCACTTCCCCCCGCAGCTCTCCGCCAGCACGCCCAGCATCCGCTCCACGGAGCCCAGCACTGCTCGGTGAATGAGGACCGGACGCTCCAGGGCCCCCGCCTGCCTGAGGGGGAGAGAGGGCGCGTCACCAGCGATGCACCCAAGACCGAGGAGCGGGTGTGGCGCGGAGGCTCAGAGGGGCGGGGGCCGGGCCAGGTCCGTACCCCTTGTACTGGAGGTCAAAGCGCAGGGGCAGCTGGAAGTCGAGCTGGACTGTCCCGCACTGATGGGGCCGACCCAGGGCGTCGTGCAGGTGCGCGTCAATCTGGGGGGCACAGGGCGAGGGGCAGGGGCCGCGTCGGCCTCCGG